AAATACTGCTCGGCTACTAGTTCACGAGTGTTTGCTGACAAGTCAGTGTTTGCCATGCAAACGACAGGCAGCTGTGGCAACGACTGCTAACGACTGTCAGTAACCTACACCAGCCACTCATGGTTGGTGATTAATCGTTAACAGATGTTTGCGGGGTATCTCCGACTGGTCTCTACGCCTGTGTGACTCAGACATATGAAGCTGCCGACGTAATGTTCAGGAAGAAGAAAGTCACTAAGCTATTTCTGAAAATGTAACAAACTGATTGAAACTATAATTATTGGAATTAACCATCATGGTGTCACCAACTTGTTTTTAGAAAACAAATGTGATTCGATTGAAACTAGTCATTGAAACCTTGAAATCATTAGGGAAGGTGTCTCCCGAGGTATAGAATTAAGTGAGTATGTCATAGGTCCCCCCTGGCCTTTAAAACAAATGAAGGCACTTCTCCACCTCCTGAAGCCCTGTCATTATTTTATAGATCTTCTGCAGTTTACTCCTTGAGACCTGTGCATTATGCTGTTTATCTTAAACATATCATATCTGTCTGAGGACTGTAAAATTACAGTATTGCGCAAAAATATCCTCTGGTTAGCCAAACATACTGCAATACAAAGCAGCTCTTACTTGCTTTCTTTCCTAACAGTTAACTGGGTCATGGTAAGACAAGCCCATCTATGGTGCCTTTCATATCAGTCATCTTCCACACCTATGTTTTCCAGCAGTGCAGCCAACCCAGTCTTGTTTATAAATCCTCTAGATACCAAAATCTTCTGCAGTCAATTCTTTTGGACACAATGACAATTAGTATTTCACTTATTTACTTGACTTTAAATGCCCATAATGGGGCTGGTAAGGTTAAAGCTATGAGGAAAGTTCAAGTAACATTGCAAGTGTCGCTGCTGAATTTAGGGGAAAACCCTGGGTGGAAACACTCTTTTTTGGCTCATCCTTAGAGCCAGATCCACCTCCGCCTCCACATTTTCATTGAGTTTGCTTTCCTGCATCTCTGCAGCTTGGCCAGCGCACAAACATTCCACAAGGGAATGCAGTTATTTTTCAGACTCCACTTCATCCTGACTACTTTTTTCTTTCCTCCCATGACTCGCTCCACTCACATAGTTGTCCTTCCATTCCTTTCTAAAGCCTACACGTGTTGAATATCAATGGCTTGCATGACACACACACACAGGGTGGAACTGTTCGTTTGCATAAACATTTCCACACTGAGCAGCACAGCTCAGACAACTGCACTCAGAGAGCCGAGGCCTCGTTGTCATAGATACAAGAGATGTGTTTGGATGGCAGAGGGTTTTTCCTGAGAGGACCCCAGAGGTACCCGAGGATATGCCGCACCCTTAAAACATGGATGATTCCTAATAGCTTGCATATGAGCTGTTACATAACATGTCTTTCCTCAGGGATGAAACCATGATGTGCCAGCAGAAAAATGATAAATTCATGGAGGGTGAAACCTCTCACATGTTCTCTCCAAACTTTTACACAATTCGGGGTGAACTGAGGACACTGCGAGAGACTTCCAAGATGGCAATTTCTAGCCTTCTTTAACGCGTTTTCCTTACAGGGCTTGATGTTTGTTAATTATATCTTGGGAAAACTTTTACTGGGACTGGCCTGGAATCATCTGGGCACAAAACTGAAATACCAGCCTTGTAGGAATTTGGCACAAATTCTGCCAAAAACACTAAAGTGCGAACCACACCTATCTTTAAATCACTGTGCAATGACAAGAAGATATCTGAGAAAAATGAACATGGTTGCATGAGACAGGGTGTAAAAGCTCAACAAAGTTAACGATGAGTCATAGAAAGAAAAAGTACAAGATGTAGCTTTACTCAGAAGTAAAGTAAAGTAAAGGTCTATAATTGTAATGTCTACCAGCTATCAAACTGAGCAAATCACTCAGCCTTGGTGAAGTGTTTTGAGTTTCTTTTTCTTAGTCTATCACATTACAAGTAAGAAAAACTTCTGTCAGTGTCTCTGCCTCGGTGACCGTCCCAACTTGTCTGTTGGATTTAAGCTTTTTTGTCAACAATGTGTCTTATTGTGCCAACATAACTGGCTCGTATGAACATGAGCAGGCCTTAATTTACTTAGTTACCTCTTTCAAAACATGCATGCTTAAGTTCTTAACCAAAATAACTAACCGTTCTCATCATTAAGCCAACCAAACCAAAACTGTGCTGCCAACAAAGACTGCGAGCGATGCTGTCATTGTTAAGGTGTGGGAAATACCTTGTCTTGAAAGTGATGGAATACTTTGTAATCGGAAGAAAAAAAATGGAATTCCCCATGCTTTCTTAAGTTACTTTTACTTTTGCTACTTGTCCTTCGGGATACTGTGCAGCAGCTGTTGAGTGCATTTTATTTTTTGTAACAATCATAATGCTGTATAACATTTGTGCAGCGTGTAATACAAGCAAACTGAGTCAAACATCTCAGGTTTCTTTGCTGATATAGGACCCTGTTGCCAGTATTAATAATTTAGTGTGCAGGAAGTTTCTGTGCATCCAAAATTGTGACTGGATGGTAAACACAAAAAGAGGGCAAGATAACAGAAACAGATACCTAAAATTTCATTAAAGCTAGTAACTTTTTGACTTTAGTTGGATTACAATGTTTGACAGATGTGTGTCACTGCCAAAGCAGTGCGATTGCTAACCATGAGGGTATAATACAGAAACTGAAGCAAAGACTACAGATACTCTGACTCATTGCCAGTCGATGGTGTGATTCTACATGTGCACATGACTTTACTGCTGTGTTAAAAATGTCAAAGGTGCAAAACCGAAATAACATAACCATTTTCGTTGCTTATGCTCATGCAGATATGGAGCAGAATAAAACCACAAACACCAAAGATGGCGATAAACTAAGATTCAAACATCACCAACCCAGCAGAGTGAATCCATGTTGATAAGTTAGTCTGCACGGTCAAAGTAAATACATACATACATTGTCCTGCAAGGGACATGCAGCAATAAATGGTACATAAGAGGGAACTAGTTAATCTATCACTCTACCTATTAACTCACTGTAAAAGCATGCACATCAGGAAATGGACACATTAAAACTGAAAGTACAGTTACTGTCTTGTAAACACTCTTGTAAATATTCTGTTTGTTAAGCAGTTAGTGGGATGTATATGTACAGAACTGATCTCCAATGACAAACCCACCATGGGGCCCAAACAGTGTATAAAAGTTGATACCAGGTAAGGGTTGTAAAAAAATGAACAGATTAGCCTCACATTTGCAACAATATTGATACAAACAGTGCCATCCTCATCTCAAGTATCACGGGTGCAGATAGGCAGGCACACAGCCCCTCCCCTCACTAGCAGCTGAACACATGAACAATTCACAGCACTAAACAGCTCTTTCTGGGGTACTTCAAAGGTCAGTACAGCTCTGTTTCAAAAACACTTGGATATTTTACTCTAACTTGGCTGTTGCACAGGTTAACACCAGCTGTTTAACCATTAGCAATTACCCAATAGCCATTTGTTAGTATTATACAAAACTGACTAGCAACTATGTATAATAATAAAACAATAACGTAAATGTTGGAGACAGGCAGCAATCAAACCTCAGTCCTACCTATCAGTAACATCTACAGACAGCATTAATTTACCAAAAATAAAAAATGTTTGTGTTGAAAATATGTTATGTTTCTTTTGAAGTCCAGAAAAATCTACCAGCTAGAATTTAGCATCTAGACAGAAACAGCAGCAGCCTACTTTACCAACTCTATTTGAGTAACGTCAACAAAAAACATGGTGCCAAGTCACAAGAAACACAGCACTACCTCAAACCAGATAAAAATATTCTCACACTTTACACTTAACGTTACTATATATTATTTTTTCATTACGTCAGACAACTTTTGTGCTATGATGTTACTGGGTTTTTTTGTTCTCAGTTTACCCTGTTATCATCTTGAAAACAGTACTGAGAATCAAGTGTTTTCCTGTTTTCCTGTGAAGGAAAGCTTTTGTTACAGAAAAAGCTATTCTTTAGTGGACTATTGTTATTCTGTCTGCAGAGAAAGTGGCAGAGAAAGCTACATGTTCATGGTAAGTTACTAGAATGGTAATAAACAATGACCAGATCGGTTTCCTTTTTAAATATAACCCTAAAACACCTCCTTTATGAAATAACAATATCATATTTTTTGTTAACTTGAAAACTGGTATCATGACTGGTCCACCATATATAGCACTGTTTGTCTCGCGCTCAGATCTGATTATTTCTAAGTTATCAACCTTTTATCTACAAAGATATCTGCAAAGTTACATTATTGCCATTATATACATATCGATAAATGACCAGATCGCTAATCTCGGAAGTATGTGATGTAACATTGAACATCCCGTGCACTTACGTCAGACCACAATATCGCCTGTGGTTCTCGTTTTGAGGACATCTGTTTACAAAATCACAATGTGTGCGATGACTTCCTTGAAAGATCAAGAAGAAATCCCGCTTCACGTCAACACTAGTCAAGAGTTGGGGGGTAAATCACTAATGCTGTATCATCTGAGGTGATGGAAACACGGTTGTGTATGTGTGGCTGTGTGTGTGTGCTGATCTCGCTCACATGGCATAACAACTGACAGCGACGACCACAGGTGACAGACAGACAGCGGGGGGATTATTTAGTCTGCAGCACTTGTGTTTACTGCCATCACTCATTCAGCTCACGTCAGTAGTCCGCTGGAGTAATAGCTGCGTATTAACACACCGTAGGACGTGTCTGCAGACTGTCATGTATGGGGTACACCCCAAAAGTGCCGCTATTAGAGCTCACAGTTCAATGAACAAATTGTAAATCTAGTAGGTCTAGTAGAGAAAAAACTGATGTCGTGGCTATAGACGAAAAACCGCGTATTTTTATGTAACTGAACCCCGATGCTTATAAACTTCGGCTGGCACCGTGTAGCAGTCAACGTTTGACTTTCAGTGCGCTTTGCTTACCTTTTGGGACCAGGCCGTTAGATCCACTCAGACTAGATACCCAACTTCTCGAGCCTGGTGATGTGGTGCGGTGTTGGCGGAGTTGCCCTTCTCCACGACACCGCAACTTTTTAACAGCTACGCGTCCCACAGCCTCGGAGCTGTGCGCCGAGTCATTATTTCCTAGAAGAGCTGTGTGGGTTTGTTTGCGAAAGGCATTAAAACATGTTGACACGCAAGAAGCGGTCCGGCTGTGGTCTTCTGCGGGTGTCGATGTAATCAGCTGTCATCACGTTAGCCATGAGAAGAGCCGAGCTGCTCTGCGCCTCTCCTCTCCATGCTTACACACTTTCAACGCCACCCACTTTTCCCGAACAGACCCGCGGCTGGCTCGGCTGATGCCTGAATGAAAAGATTTGAGCAACCTGGCTACTTTTACTCTAGATTTATATGAAGTTTTTCAAAAGTAGTGTTAGCAGAGTGATATAGATATTGATATTTTTACTCCTAAAATCAGCTAAAGTAGCTTGGCATGACTCATATTTCAAATATTTATAATTTATCAGTTTTGGAGAGAACAAATTTTAAGATCTTTAATTCTGTTTAATTTCAGGGTCTTCTTGGACTAGCATAATCGATATTTTTGTAAACCATGTATCCAAACGTTAGAATTTGCTGCTTAACCATGCCATTTTAATCAGCTTTAATAATACAGTCACATGTTGCTTGTAGAAGCCCTTTGAGAGACAGAACAAACCCGTTTACAAGCAGGGAATAAATATATACCAATGCTTTCTCGGTTCTTCAGTCTCATTCCACCACAGGTCAGCACTCGTTTGTGCTGTGACGTTGACCCAAACCAAAAAAAAAAAGTGTTCACAGCAGTTTTAGGAAGTAACATCATCCCCAAGTTTGGAAGTTGTGAGTTTCTGTTTTTCTTTATTTGGTGACAGCACAAGTCATTTGACTGAAATTAATCCTGACTGTTGAGATTTTTTTCTTTAATGTGGTAAGTGTTTTGGGACTAGAAGTGAATGTAAAGAAGAAGAATTTAGTTTAATACAGCTTTCTGACACCCAGCAGGAAGGTGTCACTAGTATCCTCTTATGTGGCTGTCTTCTCAAACTGCAGCTCTTTCATTTGGAGTCATTAGGACGCTGAAATCTTTTTTTAGAGACAGAAAATCATAGTGGCCGCATGAGCAATTATATGTTGGGTAGATTTTTTCTCAGCCATGGTGTTGTGGTGTGAAATCAGTTTTTGCTGCCTCTGCAGTAATGACAGCTTCCTCATATGTGATCTTGTATATGCAGAACAATGGGAGGAAACAGTCAGTTGGATGCTTTAGCTTTGAGCAGAGGACACGGAAAAGGAAAAGATACAGGATCGGACACACTGTCGCCTACATAGAAATGGACTTAAACAAGTATAAACAGAAATGCTTACCATTTCTGTTTATGCTGGTTTATTAGAAAGCACTATCACTGTGTTGGAACCCCTTTTGTGATCAGCATTGCTTTCATTTTTTATGGCAAAGATTCAACAAAATGTTTTGGAAAATTCTTCAGAGATTTTGGTTCATATTGATGTAATAGCATCACACAGTTGCTGTATGTGTGTCGGCTGCACATCCATGATGTGAATCTCCCATACACCACATCCCAAGGGTGCTCTTTTGGCCTGAGATCTGGTGAGTACGCTGAACTCACTTTCTTCTTGCCATATTTTGTTTCTTGTCTTATTCAAGAAACCAGTTTGATCATACAGGAATGGACATCATTATCAACAATACTCAGGTGGTCTGTGTTGTTTAAACAATGCTCATTTGGTGCTAATGGATCCAAAGCATACCAGAAAAATATCCCCAACACCATTACACCACTACCAGCAGCCTAAACTGTTGATACAAGACAGGATGGATCCATCTTTCCATGATGTTTACCTCAAGAATCATCATGTCAGACCAACTGTGGTGAGGACATTTGCATCTTATCCTCATTTTCCTGTTCTTAGCCCACAGGAGTGGATGCCTATAGTTGTCTGCTGCTGTAGGCCTTCTGAAAACCTTCTTTTGTAATGACTTGTAATTTGAGTTACTGTTGCCTTTCTATCAGGTCAAAGCAGTCTGGCCATAGTCCTCTGACATGAGCAAGGATTTTTAAAAATTAAATTCAACTTTTTAAAATCCAGTTTTATTTATATAATGCCAAATCCCAACAACAGTTGCCTCAAGGCACTTTATATTGTAAGGTAAAGACCCTATGATAAGACAAAGAAAACGGAGAAAAACAGAGAAAACCCCTATGACCCCCAGGAGCAAGCACTTTGGTGACAGTGGGAAGAAAAAACTCCCTTTTAACAGGAAGAAACCTCCAGCAGAACCAGGCTCAGGGAGGGGCAGCCATCTGCTGCAACCAGTTGGGGGTGAGCAGATGCAAATGGGACAAAGGCATGCTGTGGAAGAGAGCCAGAGATGAATAATAACTAATAATTTAATGCAGAGAAGTGTATACAGACATAGTGAGTAAAAAAGGTGACTGAAGAAGAAACACTCAATGCATCATGGGAATGCAGCAGCCTACACCTATCGCAGCATAACTAAGGAAGGACAGGGTCACCTGATCCAACCATAACTATATGCAAGCCTAATCTTAAAGAGTGTCTGTCTGCTGAATCCAAACTGGAAGCTGATTTCACAAAAGATGGCCTGAAAGCTGAAGGCTCTGCCTCCCATTGTACTTTTAAATACTCTCAGAACCACAAGTAAGCCTGCAGTCTGAAAGTGAAGAGCTCTAATGGGGTGATACCGTACTATCATGTCATTAAGATAAGATAGCATCTGACTATTCAAGACCTTGTATGTTAGGAACAGGATTTTAAATTAAATTCTGAATTTAACAGGAAGCCAATATGAGAGAAAAGCTCTCTGTCTTTTAATCTCTGTCAGTACTCTGTTCAATCACCTTTCAGCTGGTTGTGCTATCTACATGCATAAATGCACAGAGTTGCTGCCATGTGATTAGCTGATGGATTGACTGTCTCCATCATCCTGACTCATTGAATGTGGATAAATCAGTGTGGGAGATGCCTGGCACTGGTGGACTGCTGGTGGGCTTCATTGACGCCACATTTAACCAGTCTACACAAGTGCAACCCCACGTGCGCACACACATGCATACTACAGCTGGGAACACTCCAGATCATTAACCACTTATGAATCGCCAGCTTTGTTTCTTTTCACAGTAGCCACTTTCATCCAAGGGCAAAATGTGGGTCTATTGTTGTCTTTCAATATTTTCCTGCCAGTTAAGCGTCACTACAATGGTTTGTGTGAAGAGAATACACTGGCTGTCACACAATCATCCGATTGTGTTGCCTCTGAGAAACATGAGCTATGATGGTTGACTGGCCAAAAGAAAAGTTATTGTAGTTACCAGACTGATCCCTGAACTGATGTCAGTAAGGATGAATTCATGACTATTATGATTCAATTTTACCATAACAAAAGCTTTAATGTCACATGATAACGTCACATGATGATCTCAAGCAGACAATAGTCATTTTTTGACTTTAGGATTACTGTGCAGTCGTGTGATCCAAGCACCATTTCATTTTTCTCTCTTCAGAAAATAAAAAGGGGAAATATCTGTTTTTTTATTAAAACATTTGCCACTCTTATTGAAGTTGGGTGATGAAATTTAACACATCAACTAAATCTACAAAGAACAGAAGAGATCAGAAGCTAAACACAAAGAAACATACGGATATGTGTGATTCTCCGTGCATTATCCCTTACAAAATGTGTTGCTGAATTACAGTAATCTACTGTTTTTACTTTGTATTTAACTATTTATGGATTTCCTCGTGTGTTTCTGTGGAAAGTCGGGGTCATAAATTCACAGAATGCCTGGTGAAGTACGCTTTTCCTCTTTCCTGTTTGTCAGAGAGAGGCTGTTGTGCTTGTTATGGGAATGACACAGAAAGGCAGATATCTGGAGCAGATAGATACATACACACACACACACACTGAAAAGGTCAATTGTTAACAGCAAAAAAGAATTGAAGGTGAATTTTAGGCCCGCATAATAGATTCAGAGAAGCTGTCGAACCATAAATCATAAATCATACATAGTTTCACTTTCGTTTCAACCTGCCTGAGGGAAACCTGTTGAAAGAGCAGGTTTGAGACTCCAGTTTGGAAAACATGTTTAGAGGTTTGTTCTCTTGTCAACAAAACATATCATAAAATTACACAACAATTTTTTGCCTACAAAATGTTATCATGAAATATGATGATGTCAGTGACGTTTATGTTTCCACCTAACGGGATCCTTTGCTGCCATCTGCAGGAAGTCGAGGCTCAGTCTTGTGACTTTAGCTTGTTGTGTATCATTTGTTTGAAGCACCACACTGATCAGCAGTTTGTTCGTGTGTCTCAAATAGACAAACTTCAGTGAGTTCTTATAGGACCAAATAAATAACAACAAGTCAGCACTATGATATGGCTCTACAACTATCAAAAACTAGTGTCTGAGTGCATCCTGCTGCCATACAAAAGGAAATTGTAACAACATTACATCACAGACATCTCAAATGTACTTATAACAGTGTTGTAATCTGTATGAAGATAAAACCCAAACATCTAAGCCACTAACTCTAAAGTGAGGGGATTTAACTTTTTGCCACGGTCCACATAAAGGCAGAAATAATTTTAGGTTATTCTTATTATTAAGTTATTCTGAGGGACCATCATTACCCTGTAAGGAAACATTACTGTGCTGAGGGGATCGGTGTCTTTTAATGATAACAAATGGTGGGAACAAATGATGGGAACAAGGGCTCCCTGAATGAAGTTTGAACATGTGCTATGTGCGGAGCATTTGTGGGACATTTTGGACCCATCTAAATCCCGTGTGAGGGAATATCTTTTGGAGTGAAAAAACACTCTCTTTTGTTTTGTTTTGTTCTTTTGTTGAGAAATTCAATTCAACAGAAAGAATATGTAACTATTTGACTAAGTCCTGCTTTGTTTCTTATGCATCAGGGACATCTACTGTATGCACCCTGAAATGCACATTTTCCTATGAGTCCATATATTAATTCCATCACACACAGAAATAGTCCTAAAGAATCCAAATGAATAAATAAAATAAATATAAATAAATATTCATTTAAATAGATTAATCAGCTCTGTTCTTTAGCAAGACTCGCATGTATAATAAAATAGAACTATGTGAGAAAGGAAAACAGATATTTTAGTTTGAGGAAAAATTTACAGTCTGTTGAGAAGAATTACAAATATAGATAAATAACTGAAGAAATGTGTAAATG